TGTGTCTTCGCTTTATCTTTCCTTCCTATCCATATTTAGATATTCTCAGTTAATTTCAGATTTACACTTACAGCTGCAACAGTTTCAAAGAGAACTACTCTAATTAGTTATGATGACATTTGAATCATACATTCTACTGTTACTCAAATATACTTAGATTTGATTAATTGTAAATCGATTAAAATATCCAACAATGCGCACGCAGTCGTTCTAGCATTCTCTACAGGTGATCGTTTGACATACATACTATGAGTTGCGAAACGCGCGCGCCTGGTACCGTGCGGCCGCCGTCACCCCTGGTACTATTCACCGGTTCGCATAAGTGCTGTTGATTTTCTTTTGGCTAGTCCATAAATAATACTCTATGGTTATATTTTTTTACTACCGGTTTACTTTACCAAAAAAAACACCATATACAGCAATAATCAATTAGCTTGAATCGGGAAAAGAATTTACACTTACTGTGAAGATAAACGTTAAAGCAATATATGCTTTGAAATTTTTTGTTAAATAATTGTAATATTTTTTCGAGGACTTTCGATTTATAAACACGTCTCAACTGTTTCGTTTGATTGATATCAATTTATCGTAAAAATATCTATCTTATCTTTAACAATGTCATTTGTCAACAATCATCAATTTTATTTATCTATTACTAATTCAACCTAAGAAAATATAACTAACTTAACGTAACCTTTTTTACAGGAAATCACTTTAAATGCCGTCGACATTCTACATAACGCGGTCCAAAAACACAAAAGGCATATTAACTAAAAAAAAAGTGAAAGCCGGCCCATTACATACCTGTTGATTCATCGTTGCCGTAGGCGGTTGTCCTTGCTTGGATATGCAAATGAATTTAAATCAGTAGGGTTTATTGTGAGAACACATAGATTATTAACATTGATTATTTATCAGTTAATTCGCTTAATACTAAACGTCAAATGTTGACGCGAAGGTTGCTATTATGAGTGAAATTTCGGTATTGAGATAACACTAATAAATATTTTGAATTGAAATAGTCTCTATTTGGTTAGTGTTATTTTTAAGCGAGTATATTCATTCGCTGTTTTCTATACTGATATTATAAAGAGGAAGAATGTGTATATTTGTTTGTTTGCATCGAATAGACTCTGAAACTACTGGATCGAGTTTAAAAATTCTTTCCTCTACAGGAAACTATAACATGCGCGGGTGATTTATTTTTTAGGCGGGCAAAGTTGCGGGAAAACAACTAGAACTATTTATGTTTTACTATCAAATTTCACTTTTAATATTATAATTTATATTTAATTTACGAAACCAACCTATTTCTTTCCGATTCTTATGTCCTAGTTATTTTGCAGTGATTCAAGTCGTTTTTAAACACAGATGTTTTCTTTGTTATTTTTTTTTACTTTTATTAATTGTTTTGCGGTCCCTTGCACCCTCTTCTTCTTCACAGTGATAAGAATTCTAAAATGGGTGGCAGACAGAAAGGGTATTAAAAAGTGGTAATTGATTTGTACCTTTAACTTTGAAGTTGGTTGAGTTCAGTAACAGTTAATTCACTAATGAGTTTAACAGAATAACATTTCTTATAGAATTTGCCCTCTTTTATTTTCGATGATTTTTTTTTCTTACGATGTAATTTCCATGTGACCAGTTAGTTGTTTTATGAATTACTAGGTAATTTCCCACGACTGCCAGCGTAAATTATAGTCTATGTCACCCGCGTATTATGTAGCATCTCAAGAATTTTTAAAATCAGTACAGTAGTTTCGGAGCCTATTCGATGCAAACAAACAAACAATCAAACCTCTCTTCTTTATAATATTATCATAATAAAATCAACAGTAAATTGTTATTTTTTTCATTAACAAACTTTAACTGTTAACGAAAAGTTAAAAGTTGGCTATTAGAGTTATCATATGATGAAACAGAGAAGATGCTAATACCTTAAAAATGAGTTATGCCATAGATTAAATATAGTGTTTTGTTTTACTGTGCATTGTGCGTTATGAATTAATGTAAAGGTAAGTGTTTGTAGTACCTATAGCTTAAATTTATATGAAAATAAGAGGTGTTCGATCGATCGTGGGGTGGGATCCTGGTGATTTATTATTTCAGGCTAAGCCTACTATAGACTCCAGTCTCCCACAAATTAACATGTAAAATAATCTACAAAAAATATATTAACCCATAGTGTAGTATGTGAATTTGTGAGAAATAAAGATATTTATTATTAGCATATAGTTGCCTACTATAAATATTTTTAAATACTATTTACACTTCGTATTAATTAAGTCACCTGTACTTAATGAAAATGTAATCCTTTATAATATTTATTCGGCGTGCTGAAACGTTCGATGATATAGAACTTTTCATACCTGTTGAAGTAAGTTTTATTATATTAAATCCTTAATGATGCTACAGCGCAGTATTCGACGCTGTACTTTCAATAGAATAGCACTGCAGGAAAGAATGATGGACATATATTTTAACAATAAAAAGAAGCAAACTAACTTTCTCTTTCACTTCATCATTTTATATAGTTTGTTATTTGACCATAAAAATTAAACCTATAAAGTCCTATACTATATGTATAAGTTTATATGAGGAGCTCACACGTACATTTAGATTGTTACATACCTAAATATAAATGACAGATACACGTACCTTGCAAAAAATAACAAACTAAGTAGTTTTACCTCAGTTAGGTACGACCAAGGCACCGAAACCAGACCCGAGAAAATTTAGGAAATTTCCTGGAATCGTTTTCATAATTCATGTTGTTCATACTAGATCACAAATGGAGAGTAGCTTTGATTTATATATGTCAACAGCAGATTAGGATTATAATTTCATATAATAGTGCAAATCTTATCATTGTCTATCAACATCAGCATATTATAATTATGATGCATAAAAACGTTATCATAGTACGATCAATAACTTATTTCCTTTTAAAGCCAATGCCCACTAGGGAGTATTACCCTACTATCGTTCAGTGGCAAGTATGAAAAAGTTAAGCAACCCCTGAGGAGGTTGTTGATCGGATTGGTAACCGAAGGTTTCAGCAAATTGAGATATTACATTATAAAATTTAAATGTTAATTTTATCGTAATATCTAAATTGGAAAATTAGTTCTTTTGGGTATATTTTTAAACAAACCTATTGTTCCTTATGAGAATAAACGTAAAATAGTTAAAATCAACAAGTCAAGCCGACGGAAGCCATTAAGTAGGGCACGAGAGGCGAAAATTTCGTGATGCACTAACAAATAGTAATGTTATAGCCAACACGTTAAAGTATACTTTCGGACGGCCGTGTGGCTCGGTGAAAATGAAAGTTGCAACCAGACGTTTTGCACAAACGAATTTGAATACTGAATTCTCGATTTAAAGAGTTATGAGTGCTTCTGCTGATTTATGGGTGCCTGGTAGCGGCTCAGCTGATTCAAACGGAAAATGTCAATATATTCATAATAACGTTTTTTTTTTAAAAACAAGAAATATGAGGCTCAGGTCACACAAATTATGTAAGTAAAATTATAATGTTATTTATTTAACATTAGCCGTTATTAATTCATTTGTTCCTAGAATAAAGGATTTCAGTTTTTGTTACTGTCTTTTCAGCGATAATTAAGATGAAAACGAAATGATGAAAAAAGGTATTTCCTTTATAATACGAGTATCTGATATGGCGCTTTTGTAATATCTTATTTTGGTTATGAATAAAATGGAAAATGAGATTACATTACAAGCGTTTTAAAGGCCCATAAATTTGTCTAACAGTCGGAAATAGTTTTCAAAGTAACCAAACACATGCACATAGATAAATTTGTCTATTGCGTACAAACACAATGTAAAAGTAAAAATCTGAAGCTAAAATTAATAAGGCTAGCATTGTAGGACACAGTTCTTACCATATAGTAAGAAATATTATAAATTCCTTTAAAGGCTTTATTTGACACTATGGTGTAACTTCTAGAGAGAATGTCCAAAGTATTTATATTAATAATGATCACCCATCTCGTGATTAACAACATTCAAATACATAGAAATTTAGCGGAAAATGCAAAAAGAGAATTAACTTTTCATAGAAGCTTAATCTTTAACAAAATCGAAAACTTTATCAGGAAATAATAATATTTTATTTAGAAATATTAACGATATACTTTTTTGCTCACAATTCATTGTCAACGTGATCAACAGCACGAACTATGCTTTTACTATTTAAATTGTCCCTTATTGACACTGATTAAAGTTCAAAGTAAAGAAGCCGCGTGCGCGACTTGAAGTCAAACCCGTCGATCTCACTTTCAAAGTACATGAACTATTGAATAGATAAAGATTGTTAAATACGACTGAACGCAACAAGAATATTAAATAAGATCTGTGGGATAGTTATCACAGCTAAATTAGATTCGTTATCATAGTATAATTTTAACTAGATAATTCTGATTTTAATAAAAAGTCACAGGGAGATAATAACGTCACATAATTAATGGAGAAAATAATTAAATGATTTTATATGACTAGTTTGTTGTGTGCAGCTTTTAAGCTCATAAATGAATCACACGCCTATAGTATTATGAAAAGTCACGTGAGTAAGGCATACAATAATACTGATTTATTACTAACAATAACGTTACGTAAAATGTTAATAATAAACATCCTACACGTGGTGTTAAAGAAAACTTGTTAAAAAAAAGAAAGTCGTAACGACAATAGAAATTTTTGCGATCGATTTTATGTCCAGTGAAATTAACATTCTTAATGAAGACTTTCCAAAAATATATAATTAAGAATATTATCCATACGCAATGAGAGTCATTAAGACAATCGTCACTGATTCATTCATCGCCACTGTTTTGAAATAATATCTCGAAACATAATTTTTCCGATGCACGACTCGGTGCTTGCGCAACGACCTATAAAATTTCTTTAACACCATCCGATTTACGACTTTTGCTCACAATAATTTATACATACATAATACCCACACTTACCTATGGTCAAAGTGTGTGGTCTGGTGCGTGGGGTGCACCAAGCTGCAGCATTGAGCGACACAGTTCCGTAATCTCCGGGTGATTCAGATTTATCAGATGCACGTACATTTGTTTATGAAGGCTCAACTCTCCAGTTACCGCCTCCAGCCTCTTTAGGAGCGCCTCTTTTTCTCTCAAGAGCGTCTTCACCTTTTCTTCTACCTCCCTCGAGCGCACTTTAGCCTTTTCACGAGATTTTCGCACTGCAATATTGTTACGTTCACGTCGTCTCCTGTACTCATCTGTACCTTTATCTATGACTTTGCCAGACGACCGCCTGGGTGGTGCCACTTTGTGTTTTAATAAAGGTGGTAGAAGTGGAGCACCTAAAGGTGGTAAAGGTGTAAACCCTCCACCATATGGTCCACTGACTCCAACAGGTGGTTGAGGATTATATTGGCCTGTGTATTGTGCACATGAAACTGATCGTCTAAAATCATGTGGTTCAGGTGGTTCTTCTTTAATTGGTGGTTGCTGTTCATGTCCTGAATTTGATTGGACAGGCGCATAAGACGCTCCCGAATGTACAGGCTGAGGCATATACGCTAGGGTTGTCCTAGCGAAACTCGGTCTCGGTTGCGGAGAACGCCCTCCTGGGAGTATCTCCTGGAAGAGAGCCATCGTCTCTTCCCCTCGGAACTGGTCCTCGATGAGGTGTTGTAAGTCAAGGCTGATCTCCTGTCCATTGAGCTCGTCTAAATCAGGCGGTGGGAATGGCGCACGTTTCTCCTCCACCGTTTTCTTTAAATCGGGTTGCGGCGGCGGCGGCGCAGCGGCTGCCGCATCGTACATTTGGGGGGACTCCATACCACCGCTCGGGCCTATCACGGGCCCTGCGGCGCCGGTGGCCCGAGCCTCCACTTCAAAGCACTGAGACGCCGTCACAAGTACACATGCACCGTGGTGAAATCCTTATGGTTTGTTAACTCGCGGTCGTCACGTGTTTTGATATAAACGAGAGCGGTGCGCGCGTGCGTACGTCGCGGCGGTCTGGCGCGGACTGCAAGGCGCGCGCGCCGTTGTCGCAAGGTTGCCGGAAGGAACTGCTGAAAGTCACCGAGTAAAAGTTTAAGGGGTGATGATTTTTTGCCGTCCGTTCTGTTACACCGCCGTTACAATGGTGCGGCATGTTTTCAGGATATTTTCGTATTTTCCTATTGCGCAACAGTTAAACTGATGTTGTTTAAAAATGAAATAAATGATTTGAATTGAGCTATTTCAACGAATGCTGCGTTTGAAGTTATTATATTTCCTGTATTGATTATTAATTAATATTAATTTATTCTTATGGGTACGTACAGTTACTTATAATAATCAATAGCATATTCTTAAGATGTAATTATTTTTTATAAGAGTAAATGGCAATCCCTAAATAGAGTAATCAGCGTGGTTACAACAGGAAGAATTTTAGTTTTAATTGAGATTTTTTTAATAACAGGTACTTATTAAAACCTCTTTTTAAAAAAACGCCTTTTTTCCATTTCGCCTGCTTAAATTATAAACTATAAACCCCTAGTACCACAAAAGTGAAATAATTTTTAAAATTTAGTAATTTCTGAACCTACTCAATACATATAAATAAACATACAACAAAATCTTTCCTCTTTATATTAACGTGGATAAACTGAATATAAAAATATCCAAATGTATCAGTAATATAGTCATTTATTAAAGTCCGGAATTTAAGGTATTTTCATTACTAAGCATATTGTTGCTTCCATTAAAATCATTAATGGTACATCAAGTAATTAAGTCGTTTGGCTACTTATTTGACTTTCTAAAATTTACATGGCTTTATTACTAATTGTAACGTAATCAATGACGTGTTTTCTTAATCATAAGAATCAAGTTAACAGCTGCTCGTGTTATTTTATTACAATTGAAGTTTTGTACGAGGTTAAACTAAGCAACCATAAATTCGATGGAGTATCGATATGTGGAAATGTTAGTCCAATTGATAACTATAACATTATTCTTAATGAAAAATTCCTCGCTAAATCTCGAATTTCGTTGTTGACTACCTTTTTAAACAGATTTTTTAGATTATTATGTATTTTAAATATTTAATAGAGAGCAATAAGTTTCTGTAAATATAAAATAAAATAAGAACACCTTATACCTGGTATTCTGAGATGGATCTCATCTGAAGGTGGACTTTTTAAGCATTCTCTTTCATTAAGAATATTTTTCATTATAGCATTGTGAATGCAAAACTGATCAAATATATTAAAAAAAAAATATTATGTCATTCCTCCAGACTTCGAACGTAAGATACGTTCTACCAATGAGTCTGTTATATCTGTAGTTGTTAATACACATAAATTCGCACAGGGCCCGTTATAATCTGTGTTATGGGAGAGATGGATTCTGTTTTGTTTGTACCTCCTTTATACTTTTTTATATACTCTGGTTTCTCTTATTTATTTCGTATTTATTTATGATCTTTTTATGAATATAGTTTATTTTAATATCGATTCATATAATGACACGGATATAATTATAATCACGAATTGAATAATATCGTAACGTATTCCCTATACAAACTTCCACACCCATTTTCATTCCTTTTTTACTTGTTTTTCGGGATTAAATATAACCTATGGTCACCACATATGATGTAGATTCCCGTAGGCGAAAGAATGTTTAAAATCGGTCCAGGTTTTTCGGAGCCTATTCATTGCAATCAAACAATCAAATCTTTCCTCTTTATATGAATATATTCTTTGATATTTTTTTATTTATATAAACTTTCCATGTTTAAATTTCTTTAATGAAGTTGTATTGTACCCGCAGGTTTACCACGATCTGTTAGAGCAATATTGTTATAATCTTATATTTCAAGATATAAGAACCCACACCGAATAGAACAGAATTACTATATTTAATTAATTTTATATTACTATACTGATAAATGTAATGATTTATAATATTTAAAAAAACTACCAGCCCCAGATAGATAGAGTCACCCAAATATGTCGCCTAAATATTTAGGAATCACCTAAAGTGAAAATGCATTTCACCAATGACTAGGAACGCCCTAACGACATTAAGCAATGTCTAAAGTTGTAACATGCGTTATGTCAGGTCACAAATATGTCAAGGGATAAAAGAAAAAAACGTTTATTTGCAATTAAACTAATCTGCTCGGTCGATTCGTAAGATTAGGTGTTTCCTAATAAAGCTATGCCTTATTTTAGATTAGTGAAATAAGAGTGTTTTATAAAACCATATATTTCTGTATTACATGTATAAGTTGATTTATCATGTGCTTAGAATATTTCGTGACATTACAGAAAAAAGATGAATGAACTCGAAGTAAAATAAATGATTATCTTTATTGTTCTATAAAACTATACTAACTTATACATGATATAAAATAAATCGCAACTCGCTGTCTGTACACTGACTACTTTTTTAAAACTACGCAACGGAATTTTATGCTGTATTCATCAATGAATATATGAATAAATTATTTATTGAACACCATAATTATATAAAATTACAATTGATACAGTTTAGTTACAATCGGTACAATCGGGGGCCTTATCGCTATAGAGTAATTTCTTGCGGGCAACCGCAGATTAGACTGGACTTTTACTAAATAGAAGCGAAGGAATATATGGTGTCTTACATAGCGAGAGAAACATACCTACATATATATACAAATACCTCCATACGACTATCATATATGTACATACCGCTGCATACATATATATACATACAAACTTATATTTAAAATAAAACAGTGCCAAAACAAATATAATAGAATGTTACGATAGCATTTGTTCCTAAAGTGATAGATAATATTCCTTTAACATAGTTTTAAAACACTTATAATATACAATATAATATACTTATATTATAAATACGTAGCTTGTAGGGGTGTGGGGCTGGACCCAAGTCCTTCCCCCATTTCTTCCTATTTTTTTACCTACGGGAAACAACATATACTAATACATAAACACATAAACGAAAATAAACTATTAATATAAGATGGATGGTCGTTTGCCGTCTCCGTAGGGGAGATAGACGATCATTTGCATATTGTCAAGTATAGATAGATAGATATAAAGCAGACATTGTCTCCACCTTTATCTTCTACAATTTTAGTCCATGATTTTTTTTTAACCAAGGACTCTTATTCTACTTTTATGTAACGATTTTACTATCCGTATTGGAACTAGTATTGGATTATTATATATGTTTGTAAAAAGAAATGAAATATTTATGACGAATGCTAAAAATTCACCAGCCCCATGTAACTTGGGATGGGACTCGGGGCTGTTCTGTTCTGTCTTTCCACTCCGACCAACTGTAACAGATCAACTTTTTTTCATTTTCAACCAACCAACTTTTTTGGTTGATCCGATAGGAATATTTTATTTAAATTTGTTCCAATCCACACAACTTCAAACGGATCAACTATGTTTATTTCCCATCAGTTTTTAACTTTTTAATTGACTTCGAAATTTAAAAGTTAGATGTTTGACGCTGATATATGTATTTTTTTTAATTTTAAATTCACTGAATTGACTGTAAATTGATGACCAATTTTATATTTAAATATCTACGTATTGTAAATATGTATTATATCTTGCAAATACACAAAATCTCCAGGACTTTCGTAATGTTAACATACATTTTAACTGACTTCGCTTATACAAGTCGCTTTTGAATTAAGTATTATTTTTCATTTTTTTAAATTTGAAATCAGAACCATATTATTTATTTTTTAAAGCTTTTTTTATATAGATATTAGTTGTGATACCTTCCTAAAAAAAAAAAAAAGTATCACTAAATTTTGCTAATATAATATTTCCTTTCTTAAATGGACTTCATATTTAAAAAAAAAGAGAGAAATAATATATTTATTTGTTATATTTTCACTCGCACTATCCATAAATGAAACAACTTTTAATAGGTTTCATCGCATTTGTATTTAGTTTTATTGAGGTTTCGGACCCTTTACAGGTTCCTTGTTTTAATAAGACTAAGGTGTTGATTGTCTTTTTTCAACCCCAAATCAGTTATTCAAACCAAATATTCAAGACAATTATTTTAATAACCAACAGAAAACCTACGCCCGACTTCTAATTCTTAAGTTTTTTTAATAAATGAAACCGATCAAAGTATACAAAAAAAAATCTATGACTTATATACCAGTCAACAAGTCATAAGGATTTCTCATTATAAAGCCAGTGGTCAGTTTATTAATGAAGTTTTAATAAGAAAGTTGTGTGGGAAATAATAAGAATTAATAAATTATTCCGATCGAACCAATCGTAAAGTTGTTTTCTTGATAAAGAAAACTAGTTGATCCGTTTCGTTGATCAGTTCAGTTGGTCGGAATGGAATATTTTTTCCCAAAACATATGCGATCATCCAGTTGGTCAAATTGGAATAAAAACCTTCGTCGAGTTCCTTTCTGCACAACCAGTACAGTTTAGTAGGTCCGAGTGGAAGGACAGGTTCTGTTTGGTCTCGGGTAGCTCAATGGTTAGACCAGTCGCCCGGAGTGGATTTTTTAAACATATTTTATACAAAGGCAAATATATGTACAGCATTTGAGAATGAAAAAATGATCAAATATAATAATCAGATTTTATTTATATGAGCCTTTATGTTGCCATGCAAAATAAACCATAATTTTCTTCAACAAGTTCAACAATTTTACAAAATAGGTATATTATTTTTTTAATTTCCCTCAATTGCCTTATCACACAATGGGGACATAGTGCAGATCGTTGAGTGTTAACAACTGCAGGTGCAGCTTCCACAAACCGAACTTTCACATTACAAACCGAACGCGCCATCGAGATACTCCATCGAGCTGTTCAATTCGAGGAATTCACCACAAACGCCCTTGACGCGTTGCAGTCACGTGACTATCACCAGCGGAACAACAATATCGGCACGAATCCCATATCAATATCGATACGAAAACGATTGCGATTATCGAGATGCGGCATGCGTGGACGTGCGGTATCAGCAGATTCTCAATTATTGACAAACGATTAAAAAAAATACTCACGTGTGTGACGCACGTAGTTTCTTAGGACATGTGATCGGATCATAAATACTGTTCTAAGTTAATACCCACGGCTTTCATAATATTCACAATTTTAAAAA